GTATTGGAAAATTGAAATTAACGTACAAATATCAGTATTTTATATAATGCTCAAACATTCTTCCTTTTTTAGTTGAACTTCACTGATTATCAATGCCAAGTATGCCACTGGATAATTAATGACTACCTACTGATTCAGATTTAAAGAGTAGTCAATGTCTTTCCAATATTAATAAGTACGACGTTGTAAATAAGTCATAGGACAAATTACTGACATCATTAATTAGTCAAAAAAATGATTATTATTATTACATCTTAAATAGCTAACAGACGTCAAAATATATGTTGACAACAGTTTGCTACCAAGTATATGTACACATATGTATATAATAAACATTATAGTTTACATTTCTACATATAACTTTTTATAGAAAAAAACAATTAGAGCAAATTTAATTACTCGATTAAAATCGATATGTTACGGGGTATATAGTATTTATATTTACATATTTTCTCAGAGTTACTTTGAGATTCTTTTTATAATATCATAAACATACGTATATATCTCCTTTCTGTTAGTCTCAACAAATCTTTTAAATAAGTTTTTCTTGGAACTCTATATATATCTCGAGCTTTTATTTTCTCTGCCATTAATATTAAATAAAAGCATTTTTTATTTATACCTAGATTATCCCTTTTCGTCCAGAATTATTTCCAAACAAATTTAAATAGTACAAATAAATATATGTTACAAGTAATTGTAACTATTCATGAGACTAATATAGGAATCCCTCCAATATTTATCAGATTTTTAATAGTAAAAGCAAAACGCATAAAAAACATCGCTAAAAATAATATTTGTCACAAAGTAAACTTTTCTACCTTAGAGAAGATTATTCTCTGCAATTGCTAATGTGCACAATTCTGTAAAAAGTGCTTCATGAATAAATATGAAAAATTTACTCTTATTACACAATATTTTCCATTAATTATAATTGCATTCTTATATTCTTTACACAAAAAAATTAAGAAGTAATTTTAAATATATTTAAAAAATAGTTTTAAAAAATTTTCTTGGAAATAACTGAGACTTATTGTTTCTCTAGTATAATAAATTCTAGTATAACAAGTATTATTTTTTTTCCTGTATTAAAATATTTTTAAATTAATCCGTAATAAAAAAAATAAAAAATTTATGATCGAATTATTAAATAAATTAAGATTTATATTAAAAATTACGAATTAATTGAAAATCGACCTTCGATTTCTCTTTTATATAAAAGATGCCCAGCTAAATAATTAAATTCTTTATTATGAACAGTGCATATCATAATACATATATTATTTACTTGATTTATCCAATTTTTTTTATACAACTTTTAAATAAAGAAACAAGAGAATTTTACTTTAATTATTTTCTACAAATATGCTTGTAATTGTCTGATAAAATATTTACTTTTACGATATGATAACCATTTTATGTAACACAAATACACATTAACTTAGTGATGCATTAAGACTCCTGTTATTTATGCTATATCGCAATTCGTTGATCTGGAGAATCCAATGCGATTGGATTATAATTCGCTTTATGCTCCAGCTAATATCGCTAATGATGTTGAATCGATTACTTACGTGTAACGAATAAAAGTGACAAAGATATAGCTCCACACTTACCTGAAACAAGAAAATTAAGATCGTGAACGGGCTGTTCAAAATAATAAAATTAGTATCAATAACAATATATTTAAATAACTACAATTTTTTTAATTTTCCTGATAAATTTTTTAGCTGAATAATATGTTAAAACATAACAATAAGAATAAATAATAAAAGCAATTAGTTT